CACAACAACATGGAGCGTGTACCATTCGTCGTGTACGCCGACCTGGAGTGCGTCCTGCGGAAGACGGAGCCCAACAAAGAAGATGCGTCGTCGTACGAATATCAGCGGCATGAAGTATTCAGCATTGGATACTACGTGCGATGCTCAAACGACAATTCGTTATCATCATATCACTTCCAATGCGATGAAAATTGTATATCATGGTTCGCGGAAGAATTAAAAAATTTAGCACATCGCGTAAAAGATATTATATCCGCTAACGTGTCCATGGAAGCGTTATCCAAGCAGCAATGGGAGGCGTACCGCACCGCGACGCGTTGTCATATTTGCGAGAAGCCGTTCGCGTCGAACGATACGCGGGTCCGCGATCATTGCCATCTAACCGGTAGATACCGCGGTCCGGTACATACGAATTGTAATCTGAATTACAAAAATTCATATACCATTCCGGTTGTATTTCACAATTTATCGGGCTACGACGCTCATTTCATAATCAAAATTAGCTACAGCGTACGATGGAAATGTAGATCTCCTTCCGATAACGAAAGAAAAATATATTTCATTCACTAAACATGTAGATAGCACAAAAGGTCAAAATACAAATAATTATCAGAAAAATTGCGTAAAATTACGATTTATCGATTCCTTCAAATTTCTAAGTACAAGTCTCGATAAGTTGGCGTCGTATCTCGATAAAGATAAATTAAAAATTATACGTTCCGAATTTCCAACATTATCGGACAAAGAATTTGAATTACTCACGTGAAAAGGTGTATTCCCGTACGAGTACGTTGACTGCGTTGACAGATTGCACGACACGCGCTTACCATCGCGAGAATCATTTTACAGTTCATTGACAGGCGATACAGTATCCGAGAGCGATTACGCTCACGCCGTGAACGTATGGCAGCGATTCTCCATCCGAACGCTCGGCGAGTACAGCGATCTGTACTTAAAAACCGATGTCTTGTTATTAACAGACATTTTCGAAAATTTCCGCAATAGTTGCGTCGCGAGTTACGGCCTCGATCCCGCGCATTACTATACGTTGCCAGGTTTCACGTGGGACGCCATGCTGAAACATACGCGTTTAAGATTTGAGTTGCTCACCGACATTGATATGATCATGTTCATCGAGCGCGGTATACGTGGTGGCCTCAGTCAATGTTCCGGCAGATACGCACAGGCTAATAACAAATACATGCGTTCGTACGACCCATCGAAACCATCGTCGTACCTTATGTACTACGACGTGAATAATCTGTACGGATGGGCGATGTGTCAGCCGTTACCGTACGCCGAATTTCGATGGGTCGAAGACGTTGCGAA